GGTACTTGCCGTTGGTAGGTTCCGGCACTCTCATGGAATAGAATCGGGCATTTGGAAAGAAAACATGAGTAATTTGTAATCATTTATTTCAGCCAGAACCTTACATATCTTTATGTCATCATCAACAGTGGGAAGACGTCCACTTCTGGACAAAGGCCTCCCCCTTAGTCTTCCACGTTGAACGACAACTCGCCATCTGTCATGATGATGTCGTCGGTCCACCTATCGGGAGGCCTGCCCACGCTTCGTCTTCCGGTCCGTGGTCTCCACTTTAGTCTGTATCGCAGATCTATGTCGGTAACTCTTGTTCTTTGGCGAATTTCCATATTTCGGATTTTGTCGCGCAAAGAAACCCCGAGCATAGCTCTCTCCATCGCACGCTGAGCGACTTTGAGCTTCTCCAGAAGGCCAGAGGTCAGGGACCACGTCTCGGTACCATACGTCATCACCGGCAACACACACTGGTTGAACATCCTGGTCTTTAGACACTGAGGGATTTTCGATGAGATAAGATAAGATTTCGCGTAAGTTCCCGAACGCTGCCTATCCAAGTTGGATTCTTCGTGCGACCTCTTTGTCGAAATTGGACCTACTTAGCTGTATAATCTGCCCTAAGTATGTATAATGGTCTACAACTTCGAGGATATATATTGGTATCACGTAAGAATAATTAAGTATGTAACAAGTTTGTCAAATCTTTATCTATTTTAAATTGTTTGAATGTTTTTTGGAACTAAGTTTTAATTTTAAAACACCTTTAAAATAATTAAATAGTTAAAAATACCAAAATAAAATTATCTTCTTACAAGTATAACGCTCACACTCACTTAATCTAACTGAACCGGTATTGTACTTATTATTTTGTACCTCTAGTCTTGTTTAATTCATTTGCATTGTTCATTTAAAATGCTTTTGATGTAAATCCTAAGATTTACCAAGGTAAAAGTTCGAATCACATAATTGTTCGGCATTTAACCAACTAGCTTTTGCCCGTGGCTTTCCCTGCGTATTCCTGTTTTATCCCATAGGAACATTTAATCGGGATAAAAATCCTCTAAACCTAAGTGAGCCCATAAGAAATAAACTTTCATATTTATAAGTGTGATGAGAGTGGGTCAATCTTAGGTTTTACTTTAAAATCTTAGAAATTACTGTAGTTCGCTTTTACAGTAGATAACATATTGATTTATTAGAGGCCTACATAGATACTAATCAATCGTTTAATTTCAACATTCCTTTAGTTCTGATTAAGCCCATCTGACTTCGTTCATAATGAAGTTCCTAACTCAGCGGTTTTATAACTATTCAAATGAATTGCGCTCCACCCCAATTTGATGTTTCACGGTATAAAAATATACATTAATCGTCTGCTAAGAGGGTGGTGCCGCTTCGTAAGCAGAATTTATATCATCGCTAAACTGAGGACACAGATTTTTTAACTTTGCCTTTTTGAATTAATGTCTTCGTTAGCAAAATTGTTGTTTTGTTAAATTTTTTGCTAGCAACGTGATTTTCACTTTCGAGAAAAGTGATATTTTGATTTTTTTATAGTAATAGTCAGGCGCTTGGTATGGCCACTATTTTATGTCTAATTCTGTTCTGAAATACTTTAACATAGGATAGCGGTTTTGGTGCAAAACGTAACAAATACACACATTTTCAGTATTGATATTAGTTATAATGTTTAACCCCCAGCGTCGATTATATTATCCACAATTTTCCAGCTATGATTGTACGTTGAATGCCTATAATAATTCAAAATAAATGATTTTTAAGACAAGAAATCCAGTAGTGTTAGTTTTTAACAGAAACAGAAAGTTGAAGTTTTTGCATGAATACATCAATAAAAAGAAAAAATGTCCAAGTTTTCCACTTGTTAAAAAATACACACAATGTGTTCTTTTCTGAATATTTGAAAGAAAGTAAATAAAGTGACATACAGAAAAAAATATTTATACATATAAAAATGAATCCCCATATCCCTTGGTCACGCCATCACGTGTGGCTCGACCGATTTCACAATATTTTTTTGATGTATTTGTCAGGAGAAGTTACTAATGACAGAAAAAGAGAATCCTGTAAGTCCTACGAGAACGGTAGGCAACGGGATTGCGCGTACAAAGTCGCGGGCAGAAGCAAATGATATTTAAAAAAATAGATTCCCAAAAAATATTTCCCTTCAAAGGCTTAAAGCAGTTATTAAAACCCCTGAAACGGTCTGTAGAACAGATTTTGATTCAAACGCGTTATTCAGCGAGCGTAGCAATATGAATCATGAGTCGGAGCTACGAACAGTTTAATGGATGACCCACGCTACTCGTACAATTTATTACGATATGAATAATCTGAAGTGATTTACTGGTGTATCGTGTTCCGTTTAACTACATAGTTTATAGTGTAAAAGAACTAGTGTCTCTACACTTTATAACCGTATTTAAATTTTATCGTCCGTAAGTATTAACTTACGAACGATAAAGTATCGTTTTTATATCATACAAAGTTAAAATATCCTTTAACATTAAATATGAGAAAAAAATTTCGTATCAAGTTTTTATTTTAAAGTGAAAAAACGTGGAATTTTAAATAACTCTTCTGCTTCTTCTCAAAGTTGGCAAAAATGACTTATCTAGATTTAGCCTACCAAATTCAATTTTTTTTTTATAAAACTTTAAATCTTAAAACTTTCAAAAGATTTTCTTTTTATTGTTTAAATTGCTTTCTACTGCTAGATGACATTATTTTATATTTTATTCTATCAATACGCAATTTGTGTAAAATATCTGCGCTTTCAGCCACTTGTAAATATTACCGCATCCACTCTTAAATCGATTATGGTGCTTGAGACCGATGGCTTTGGGTTCGGTGGACCGGGGAAACTTCATTTGCGAGCTCCTCTGTCCGTGAAATGAAGTCGGCTTGATATAGCGATCATGTTATATCGATATCGAATGTTGTGGCGCATGTAACTGAAACGATTAACCGTCTTACACTTACATTTTCTTCTTAGAAAATTATAAAAATAATAGAAGTAACGATTTTTAATACCGTATTTATTATTTAGTAGTCGTTAACCGTAGCCTTAACTGCGTAAAAAGATTCTAAAGCATACACAACAATATGCTTATTCATTTTAATACGATTACCTAGTTGGTCAGATAAATCTTTAAAACTTGCTTTTGCTTTTATAATAATAATAATGATGAGGTTTTTATACCTGACAGTTGTGAAAGAGTTCTTCTTGGGTTAAGAAAAATTTAGAGAGTTGGTACTTGCCAACTAGTCAAATTCAATACTTTTTTCGAACTATCAAAAACTTTTCTAGTTTTAAAGTTTTCTATGAATTTTGTGCGAGATTGTGAATTATAAAATGAATAAGCATATTGTTCTGTATTTTTGGCGTCAAAAAGCATACTTATTTCTTAAAAGAATATGCTGGAAAAATACCAAAATAAGTTGGTCATAAAATCAATTAATGAAAGTGTGATTATTTTGTAATATTTTATTGTAGTAACAGTCAAATTTATTTCTGTATGATTGAGGAAAGTACCCAATTGTACTTTGTACTATTAAAAATTTAGCATATGAAAATTAAATTCACGAGCATAAGTGATGTGTAATGTCCTATTGCTCTAGTAGCGAAGACTTCAAGTTACAATATGAAATCATCTTAGTAACAGATTACAGTAATGATAAACTAAATAGGACCATTCTGAATACTTGCATTTTCTTGGGTATGCGGTTAAAATGGAGCGAACCAAAATATTGTCAGTAATTTGTATCGATTATTTACGATATGTATATGTCTTAGTCAGAATCAAGTAAGGCAAAGAATCTTCTTCTATACCTTCTGAAGCATCTGCTTCAGAAGGAATATAATATTTATGATATTAATGTATTCAGTCTTCAAATTGGAAATGAATTCCACTTAACTTTAGATATTTGTAATAGATAGATGAATGAAATAGAAGTTCTCTAGTGAAGTAGGCAAAAATGTTTTAATTTTTTTGGGATAGATAATTTAATCAATTAGACAATAATATTTATTGTCCTCCGTATCTAAATACCTATATATAGTGTTGTTTCAAAATGCGCTTGTTAAACAAATATTTCAGCTTATTATCAGATAGCTCAACCCTTCCTACAAATTAAATTTAAAATAATAAAACATAACATCATCACGCCTTTTATCCCCGAAAGGGTAGGCAGAGGTGCACATTACGGCATTTAATGCCACTGTAATGTAACACCCACTTTTCACTATTTATGTTATGAGCTCATGTAATAGGGGGTGAGCCTATTGCCATATACCGGGCACAGTTCCAGACTCCGTGCTACCACTGAAAACATCCAGTAATGCTTTGCCCGACCCGGGAATCGAACCCGAGACCCCTTGCCCGGCAGTCGCACTTGCGATCACTCGGCCAATGAGGCAGTTTAAAATAATACTAATCCTATTAATCAATCTACTTTTGTATTGATTACATTAAGGATTGTAATTTCATGGTTCGGTACTTGGCTTGATTTTTTTATAATTCTATCGAAGTTTGATAGTAGGTACAGGACAGTTTGATTCTAGAGATAGGGCAACTTAATTTCATTTTTTTTGTGTACCATGCATGGGAGTAATTAAGTATTTAGTATTAGAGACAACGACCAATGACGACAACAAAATAACTTACTGGCAGTCTAACATTTATTTTTTTTGCTGACGTAATTAAGATGAAAGAAGGTTGTAAACTTAAATCATGTACATATATTGTAAACGTACAATAGTAATAAATGTTCGATGTCAAGCTGGTGAAAAATGTATTGATTTGTTGTAAAAAGGAAGTGTAATATTGCAGCTATTTATGGAGAGTCTTCATGCCTGTGGGCGACTGGCTACAAACGATGCATGACTGCATGCTCAGTATAACATTCCTAGTGTTGACGTCAATACTATATATTTTGGGACCTCCTGAAAATTTTCAGAAATCTGACAAGCTCCGCCCCTTTTACAGCACCGGCTGTGATTCGTCGGAGTTCAGCTACGTCCGTACACGTAGCGGCCAATGACGGCCGGGGCTACGCGCAGCCGTAGCGCTACAGCATAGAGGCGCGCGGGGAGCTACACGATCGACAGACGCTACAGCGGAGCTGCTACGCCAGGGAACTGAAAAATGTAAGTACTAATTATTGTATTTTTAAAGAATATTCTGTTACATAAAGGGCTGTATGTGTTGTATGCATAGACCATTTTATGGATATCATACAACTGCATACAAGTACATCTAGTTTGTACTAGGGTATATGTAGGTATGTGCATATGTATAGGTAGGGCACCAGTAGGTACATACTAGCTGGTTATGTAATATGACAGTGATTGAATTAAATTGTTGCTATTAATCAACCATTCTCCAGTAGTATATCAGATTTCAATTTATGGCTGAGTGAAAAGAATATTTCCCGATGTTTGAAAAATGAGGAATTTTCTTCCTTGACCCATTTTTATATTTTCAAATTTATATGCTGTGGAATACACAAACGGTACATCAAAATTCCTTAGATGCAGAAAAGGATTAATAAAACATAGAAAATTAAAATCACTGCTGCATCATAAAAGTAATACCTTTTAAATTTTAAATACACGATCTTTTAACCCTTATCGAAATTATCCCCAGTTTTTCAATATTTCAAAAATAGTGATCGTTTAAAATTGCAATATCATCCAAGAAACTAAACGTTCTGTCTTTAACAGTCGTTTACATTACGTTAAGAGCTTGTAGGTACTAATAGTGGTATTGTTAACAGGTGTTAGTGAAGAGTGTCATTTGATGTGGGACGTGGGACCGGCATCATGCAGGGGCTCCATGCCGCGAAGGAGAAGGCCTCGGGGCTCTTTGCCAACAAGCCCCTTCTGTTCAAGTAAGTACACATATTGCATCATCATCAATATCAGCTGCTGGACTAAGTAGTTTACAGTTTGACTATTTATTAATGAAAAGTTCATATCTAATTTTCATCTAAATTTTATTAACTTAAAATTCATTCTAGTTCCTTTTTAACATAAAACGATTCGCTAGTACTTTATTAGTTCCTTATACATGCGTCGTCATTCTTAAATAGACAATCTATACTAGAATTATAGTGCTCTGCAGTCCGTCAAACGATGTCGAATTCTTTTTGGACTGCATTACTCGTAACTTAACATGCTACGGCTGTTGACTACTTCGTCATACAAAAATGTAAAGTCGATTTAAAAGTTTACATGAAAAAAATAAATAAATGCGAAATAGATTAAAGTAATTATGGATTTAAGAACAAAACAAAACTTAATGATGTTCTCGAACTACGATCTAAAAGAAACAAATACCAATAAACTGAAATCGTTATATCAGCATCAGACTTCGCTCGGAATAAATTATTCTCTTGTTTTTGTAATAACCTCGTTTATTATTGAGTTAACAAAGTAGTAAAATGATTGTTTGAACGAAAAACTGAAAAAAGTGATGTAACTGAAATGTTCTGTAACCCAGATAAAATATCTAAAACTTTGAAAGCAAATTACATATTTTCTATTGGTATATAAGAAGTATAGAAGATATCAGTCAAATGTTTCATGAGCAGTTAATTTTTTAATTTTTGGCAAAAGTTTAAAATGAAAATAAATCGTTTTTCTGGCATCTTTCCAACTAAATTGAGGTCGATCTTAATTGCACCTAGTTTAGCCTTCTTCTATTATGTCCTTCTATCAGTGGAATGTAATCCTACGCGACGTCTTCCCGTTTGAGAAATATTTTCATAATTTATACGTAACTATGTTATATACAAACAAGTCGTTTCTGAGATCTTTTTCGACCTTCTCCGAATTCACCGAAACTTCAACAATGTTTAGAAAATCTTTTTAGGTATTTACCCACATCACTAATAGTTTTCTAGGCCACGTTAGATTGTCTAACAAAATAAAGTTGTAGCTTAGAATGGTTGGTGATACCAATACTTACAATGTTGGGAAATTAAGAAATATGACAGTACTGTTTAATAGAGAAAATTCATCACAAAGTATACATATTCTAGCACAACTAGTTTACAATAAAACTATCACAAGTAAACTAATGTAAGAAAAGCCTATAACGGCTTCGAGGAAAGTATAAAAGGGGATTGTTTTACAAAATCTCAAGACGAAACTGGAAAAAGTCGATGGAAACGGAGAATAAACAAAAAGAAACAATCGTCGATTGGGCAACGCGCCGGGAATCGAAGCAATTTTGTTGGAAGCCATGAGACGACCGCCGATAATATTGACAGCCGGATAATATTTGTTGCAAAAAATGAAATATAAGGGCGGAGGAATCTCCGACTATTCTCTTTAATAAGGATTTTGAACGTAGGGTCGCGTTTGTTGAACTATTGTGGGAAAAATGAGAGAATTTTATTGCGACACAAAAGCCGAAATCTGTTAAGTATTTTATTTATTTATTTATTTATTTATTTATAATTCATGGAGGACTTACAGCATATAAAAATGGATAAAAATAACAATAGGCGTAGGTAACAGTGAGCCAATAACAAGTCCTCACGTTTAACATTTGAAATAAATTAATTAATATGGTGTGAGTACTATACAATATTAAAAATACATACATTCTGCGTAAATGGAAAAAAATAAATATTGAAACAGACCGTACAGACAATATGATTATGAACAGATCAAGAGAAACGATAAAAAAAAAACTAAAGATCTAGTGCTGCTTAAAAAATTTAAGGCTTAAGCACCTCTTTGCCGAGTTCACACTAGTTGTAAACGGATCGAAGTCATATTCCTTACAAACATTGTTAAAGTGTCTGCTTGCACGCACAATGTAACTGTTCTGCCTGTAGTTAGATGAGGAACGGGATACGTGTAAAGGTGGATTAAATCTAAATATTTTATTAGGTACATTAAATTTGATTTTTGATAATAATTTTAAAATATATTGCCAAAATCATCACAAAGAAATCGAAAGGATATTGTCTCCTTATTACACTAAAAATAGTATGTACCTAGGCAGCTCTTGTTTGTTAGAGCTTATATTCTAAGCTAGCGGATGTTGAAAAACAAAAAGTTGTAGTGACAATGTACCATTCTAATTTTATTTTTACTTTAAAATGAACTGTCATAAAAACGAAGAAGTCTCGGTCATTTCGGAAACAATATTGAAATCATAAAAAATATTAACTTTATCTTTAACCAAGTATAAATACGTCCAAACTTCCCTCTGCACAGATCATAATACCAAATGGTCCGGATTCGATAAATAATGCGATTATTGCGTTAGCTGGTGGCAACCCTAGAGGTACAGTCGAGTGCTCAGCGCTGATAACAAACAGACATCATCCGGATTTGTGTCGTCATGCGAACGCTCCGTTCCCGATGCAAGGAACCAAGTACCCACGAGCACATAAGCACATTGTAACGGTGATTTGTTCACAAATCTCCTCAATACACACGTGTATTAAAATTAATTTACGTTCTGAGACGTTTTGCGGAGATAATCATAAGCTGAGTTTGTGGTTAGGAATTAACATAAAATTTTCCTTGTCATCATTCGATATTGAGGACATTAGATACGTTAAATCATATGTAAGGAAACTTAAATAATTCTTTCGGAAAAAAAAACATATTTCGGATACGGATCTGACAAATGACCACTCGCTTTAAACACAATCATCATACATCTGCGTGAGGTATCCCTAAGGTTTTAAGCCCATAAATTGCGTCGCGAGCTACAGACGGAGAGGAAGGGTAGCCGGTTCATTATTTAGTCCGTTTAAATCACTAAGTCCTTAAAAGACATTAGCAGGCTTTGTAGCGTTATCGCAGAACACAAAAGAGATTTAGAGCAAGCTGACAAGGGGAGGCACCCGTCACTTTTTATTCAATAACATTTACGTATATTGTATCGTGTACTGCCTGATTGTACGAGTACCTTTTAATGGTAGGATTAATATTTTAATTGGACGCTTTGCGTTTCATGACAGTCTTTATTGGAAGCTTAAAGACAATCATTAGTAGTGAGGCTTAGTTTGATGAAGAGTCTGTTCTGATGCGGAAAATTTGGTTTGGAAATGTTTAAAAATTATTGTTATCATTAAAACTTACCTTTCCTGGTTTAACACTATTGAATAATATGTGAAATCGAAAACTTTTCGTATTATTTTTCAGATTACTTCATTATGAGCAAAAACTTAGCAAAGTAGTTCTATCAACTGTAAATAATTTTGTTGTACGTTAAAATAAATGCAACTAATTTGTTTTTGCTACCAGTACGCGACATTAAACGGTCTAGACAACTAAATACGTGTACAGCACTTACGCTAATTGTTTCCGCCATTTGAATATTGCGCGCGACAATTACTCGATTGGTCCGCCAGAGGCCGCTGCTGCAGAATGGACCCCTAAATTAATTGCTCTCTGCTCACTTTGTTTTATTTTGATAAAGACAAAACTGACTGTGCAATTCGAGTAAAATGTGAGGGGGACAAAATCCATTAATACTGACATAGTAAAAAACCTTATTGATTTTTGTGACAAATTATAACTCACTAGCAAAATATACAACATCACGCTACAACCAATGGACGCTGAGCAGAGCGTGTGAATCCGCGCGGAAGTAGCTAGTTATACAACATGTAATTTAAATAACGCACATCCTGAAAATAGTTTGTTCAGAATCGTTAACTGAATCGATTTATATAATTTTTAGTATAGGTAATTTTTGATTCCAAAAATAATTAAAACTACGGAAAGTATTGTCATAACCCTATATTGTTAAAACAAATCGAAATGGACCGTAAGTCAAAACAATAAGACTTTACAAAATAAAGAAAAGTAACCTTATGACAAGACCAGTAAGGATGCATATACATGTTAAATTAAAAATTTAGTGTATGTATTATAATTATAACATAATATAATTAATATTATAAGTGTTTGAGGGTGTGCGTTAATTACGTTACATGTTGTACCTCTATATACTTGTCATGGCCAAACAATCAAGATCTCAATGATTTTTAATAAATTAACCTAAAATGTTGGTAGAATGTATTTTGATAGATTTTCTTTCAAGTCCTTTCAAGACCTAACTTTACAGTTAACAATAGAATACTGTGTAACTCTTAAAGAGAGGTTACATTCTATATCTCTGTTTATTTTCACGGCGTATATAACGCATAACATATATTATAAAACACAGTCCACAATGATCAAAAAATGAGTGTAACAGGAAAATTGAACCCGGAAATGTAATTTCCTCAATACTTAAGTTACCCAGTTGATTTACTATACGGGATTCATGTTTTTCATACCTTCCTGAATTGATTTTCATATTCAGTTACTCAAGATAAGAGAGGTTTTTCTATTGTAAGTATCTTACATTTATAATATAATCTACCCCTTTTCGAAGTTTCATCTCGATCCCTTCAGCCAAAGGCGTTTTGGCGCGAAAGAGTAACAAACACACACACACACACATTATGTACATCCTCACAAATATTCGCATTAATATTATTAATAAGATTGACTGTTTCATCCGTATCGATCTTTCAGTAACAGTATTTATTATCTATTATTAATTCTAACTGGTCCTTTTAGGTACCTTTCTCTCAAATCCGAAATTATAAAAGCACTACGTAAATAGCATTTAAGGTGAATACTTATTCCGCAGAACATTAGTAGTAATCTGCTTGCAGTACTTGTAGTCAACCAGAAAAATCTTGCTTATTATTTAATTTGCTGAATAATTGCACGTAAGATATTACAAAGACAAAAGTTTTTCTTTGTGATCTGTTTCTGTGTGACTGTTAAGTTATTAATATATATCTTAATTTGCTTTTGCAAACTGTACTTAAGAAAAAGAAGCGGATTACAAATAATAGGTAACTCT